TTCCCTTCCAGCTTCCTGCCTGTGGCCCAGGAAAGCAGTCGAGGACAGCCCAAAGCTTTGGGACCCTGCACTCGCGTGGGAGACCCGGAAGAGGCTCCTGGCTTCGGACGGCATAGCATCGACCATTGCACTCACTTGGGGAGTGAATCATTGGACAGAAGATCTTCCTCTCTGCCTCTCCTCCTCTCTGTATATCCGCCTCTCCAATAAAAATAAAATAAATCTTTAAAAAAATAATTTGTTACTAGTAAGACTTAAGATTTTTAAAACATTTTACTTCATAATGAAATTTTTTATAAAACTTAAATAGAAGTTCAAATTAAAGGATTTAGGGAAAAGTACAACATTTCTGGATATTACAGACTTGGTTTTTTGGATCTTTACAAATAATGACTCCATTTTGTATTTATATTCCATTAGATACATGTTTGAAAGTAATTGTTTATTATTTTATGTTAACCTTGCAATAATTCTATTAACTTCAGAGATCATCTATATTGAAACTACAGTATGAAAAGTGCTAGATCATTGTATTAGAAATGGATTTGTAAATTCGGGACTACATAGATATTCAAAGTCCTTTCAGAGTATATCTAAGAAAAAATGTTGGAAGGGCACTGGACTAAATAACAATAAATAATAATTTTGGCCAAACAGCTTCTTCATGCCATGCTTGTCTCCTAATACCTGGTTTTATTGGCTCTCAAATAATAATAATTGAAAATTGGGTGGATTACCAGGCAGGCATGTCAAAGAGTGGTTACTATGGGCAACCAAAAATTACTGTTGACATTAATTCTATTTAATTTCATCCTTTGATAAATACTATTCTTTGAGATGAAGGGTGAGGATATCTAGTATTACATGTTGCCATTCTTATGTTTTCTGTGGCGGGGAGAAGCTTACAACTGAAATCTTCTACACAGGTCAAAAAATGTCACAAGATAGACTCAACATAGTTTAGAGCTGCCATTTTCTCATCTTTGCTGCTTCTTCCTTTATAATCAGAGAAGTTTGTAATTGTAACCTTAACCTTCAAATACAGTTGAACACAAATATGAAAAGATTAGAGTATAAATGAATTCAGTTGCTTAAAAATATGTTAAGATTCTTATTGCTAAAAGTTTACACAGAGCAACTTTAATGGTATAAAGAAAAATGATTTTTATTTTCATCTATGAATTTTTAGGTGACCTAATTCTGATGCATAATTGCATGTATATATATATATATATATACATATATTCAGTTTTAGCTGGGTTTTTTTTCCTGGACTTTTTAAAAATTATTTATTTATTTTTATTAATTACATTGAATTATGTGACACAGCTTCATAGGCTCTGGGATTCCCCCAACCCCTCCCCATACCCTCTTCCCATGGTGGATTCCTCCACCTTGTTGCTGTGTTACATTTCAAATTCAGTCAAGATTCTTTCATTGCAAGTGTATACCAAGCATAGTGTCCAGCATCATATTGTCCAGGTAAATTCATCGAGTTTTAGCTGTTCTTAAAGGATACAACCAAAGCAAACAATCCCTTCTTCTCCACATATAAAGCCTAAGGTAGCTACTGCCTTTATGGGATGTGAGTGTAGAATTTTTTTTTTAATTTCTGTTTTTATTTTAGTTTATGTTTACATAGTAGATCAGGGTGGGAAGGATCCAGGTTTAGGGAGAAGTGGCTGTGATCATTGTTTCCAAGCTTTCTATATCTTCTTCCCATTTCTGCTGGGGAGAGGGGAGATAAGGGGATAGACCATACTCGGTCTCCCAGTCATCCCCAGTACCTGAGGATTGGGAAGGGCCACCTGGTAGCAACCCAGAGTCACAATGGTGCATGTTCCAAAAGTTCTGCCCAGATGGATGTGATAGTCTCTGAATGCTGTCAGTCTCACTGATCACTGGATGAGGGATCCCTTCCAATTTCCATTGGCTTATAGACATGAACACCATGAACTTTATAGTCTCCAGTCATCCAGATATTTGCTGTCACCATTTGGCTGGGGTAGTTGTCCATATGTTCTGTTCTCTTTTGTTTCTGCCTGTTTTCATATCCTGCCTGTGTCAGGTCCATCCATATTGTACTATGTATCAGTTTTTCAGTCCTTCTATAGCCAAGTAATATTCCATTCTGTCTATATTATCCCCTGGAATCCATAGGGCCTGGTTCCAGGACTGTCAGCCACACCCTCTCCCTCCCTACATACATACCCTACAGTCCCCAAATTTGTCCCTTATATAATGGCAAAATATTTTGGTATAACATACATAATTTTTTGATACTTTAAACCATCTGGAGGTTATTTGTAATACCCAATAGAATGTAAATTATCTCCCATCCAAGTACTAACCTGGCCTGACTCTGCTTAGCTTCTGGGATGAAATAGAATTGGGCACATTCAGGGTAGCATGGCCATAGAATAGAATGTAATTTGTAATACCTATTAAAATGTAAGTTTGTCCACAATTTTTTTAAAATTAAATGACAAGAAAATAATCTGCACATGTGCAGTAGAGATGCAATTTTTGTTTTAACATTTTCATTCTGCACCAACTATGACAGCATAGGTAGAAAACCAAGGGTCACTTGCATGACATTTTATCTATGTAACACACTGTTACTGGTTGTATGCTATAGTTCTACTTTTTGATGTTGTGAATAGCTCTACTAAAAGAACTCATGTAAAAGTGTTTGTTTAGATGCTTATTTTCATCTGTTTTGTGTTTATACTTAGGTGTAGAAATGTAACTTCATGTAGTAATTCTAAATTTAACTTTTTAAAGAGCTGCCAAACAATTTTCTAAAGCAGCTGCAATACTTTACATTCCTTTTTGTAAAAAGATTTATTTATATTTGTTTGAAAGGCAGATATACAAAGAGGAGGAGAGAGAGAGAGGAAGATATTCCCCAAGTGGCTTCAATGGCCAGAGATGAGCCGATCAGAAGCCATGAGATTTTCCAGGTCTCCCATGCAGATGCAGGATTCCAAGGATTTTGGCCATTCTCAGCTGCTTTCCCAGGCCACAAACAGGGACCTTGATGGGAAGCGGTGCCACTGGGATTAGAACTGGCTTCCATATGGGATCCCAGTGCATTCAAGGCAAAGAGTTTAGCTGCTAGGCTATCATACTGGGCCGAGTTCCTTACATTCCTAACAGCAATGCATAAATTTCTGGTTTTTTTTTTTAATTGTTGTTATTACTATCCTAATAGTTTTGAGTTAATTTCTCATTGTAGTTCTGATTTTCATTCCCCTAGTGCCTGGTAATATTGTCTGTTGATGTGTTTGATGGTTGTATATATTTCTTCTTTGAAGAAATGTCTAGCCCTTTGTCAAATTTGAAATTAGTTTGTCTTTCTGTCTTTGAGTTGGGAAACTACTTTTACAGTCTAGTTACTAGATCTGTGTGTATGATTTGCAAGTATTTTCTCCCATTCCATTAGTGTGTGTTTTTACTTTCTTGATTGTGTCCATTGTTGCACAGATGTTTTCAACTTTGATTGGTTTAATAATCTTTTTTCTTCTTTTGTTGCTTAATTCTTAAGTGTCAGATTTAATAGCCTGATGTCAAATCAATGATCATGAAGATGTACCCCTATGTAACTTTCACAGTTTTCATTTACAAGTGTTTTTAATATTGTTTGAGTGATGAAGGCAGAGAGAAAGAAAGAAAACACGAGTGCGTATGCACCCAAGAGCAAACTCCACTCTGCTTGTTCAGTCACACGAGGCATGCAGCAGCCAGGTCTGACCCAAGGCGAAGCATATCAAAATGCTCATCAGCGGATGAGTGGATGCACAAAATATGTACAGCCTTTCTCTCTGTAAATCCAATAAAAATAAATAAAATCTGGAAAAACGATGGGTGATCTAGAGCTGGCATGATACAGCTTATCTGGCTAATCCTCAGCATGCAAGTGTCAGAATTTCATATGGCACCACTTTGTGTCCTGGCTGTTCCACTTCCCGTCCAGCTCCCTCCTTGTTGCCTGGGAAAACAGTGGAGGATGGCCCTAAGCCTTCGGACCCTGCACCTGCATGGGAGAACTAGAAGTTCCTGGCTCCTGGCTTCAGATAGACTCAGCTCCGGCCATTACAACTATTTGAGGGGTGAACCAGCAGAAAGAAGAGCTTTCTCTGTACTTCTCCTTCTCTTTGTAAAATCTACCTTTAAGATAAAAATTATTATTTAGCCTGGCAGTGTAGCCTAGCGGTTACAGTCCTCGTCTTGCACATGCTGGGATCCCATTAGGCCGCCAGTTCCAATCCCAGCAGCCCTGCTTCCCATCCAGCTCCCTGCATGTAGCCTGGGAAAGCAGTCAAAGATGGCCCAAAGTCTTGGGAACCTGTACCATGTGGGAGACCTGGAAGAAGCTTCTCGCTTCTGGCTTCAGATCAGATCAGCACCTGCCCGTTGTGGCCACTTAGGGAGTGAACCATCGGATGGAAGATCTTCCTCTTTGTCTCTCCTCCTCTCTGTATGTCTGACTTTCCAACAAAATTAAAGTAAACCATTAAAAATAAATAAATACAAATTATTATCTAAAAATATATATGCATAGCCAGATAATAGAATATTATTCCACCATAAAGAGAGCAGAAATACTGAAATATTCTGAAGCAATCTAAGTGAAAGTGAGATCCCACAAGTTCTTTTTTGTGTGATTCCACTTATAGGAAATATCCTAAATAGGGAAAAGTATAGAGATGGAAGGCAAATTACTAGTTTCTAGGTGCTAGAAGGAGGGGGAATTAGAGAGGGACCAGTGAATGTGGGTTTTTCATTGGTTATGATAAAAATGTTTTCAGGTTGAAAGATGTTGGTATATTGCAAACACACTAATAACCATGATAACTATAAAAGAGTGGGGTTTATGATATGTGGAATATATTTCAAAATAACTTCAAAATATTTTACATGCATGAATATTTTTGCATTTTCAAACTATGTTCATTAGATATTTATCTTAACAATGTGATTTTTGTGTTCCTATGCAGAAATTTATCTTGGCATCCTGCATTGACAACTGAAAGCAAAATGCGAATTCCACATTCTCATGCATTTATTGATATGACTGAAGATTTTACAGCAGGTGAGTTGCAAAAATATGAAATATTTGTTTTCATCTGTACCCTCCCTAGATTCTGATAGCCACTGTTCTACTTTCTACTTCTGTAATATCATGTTTTAGCTTCCACATCCAAAGCTGCTTCGTAAGTTCACGGAAAATCCATATATAAATAATTATGGGGGTGAGCGGGCTGGGGTTGTGGCCTCACTTGCAGCATGCACATCCCACATGGGTGCCATTTGGAGCTCTGGCTCTCCCACTTCTGTCTTTAGTTCTGGGAAACCAGTTCAGGATGGCCCACATGCTTGTGCTCTCACAGCCACATGGGAGATCTAAATGAAAGTCCTGGGTTCTCCCTGATCCTGCCCAGTCCTTGTTATTTGGGGAGTCAACAGGCAGCTAGAAGGTCTGTATCTCTGTATCTCTCTCTCTAAATGCCTTTCAAATGAATACAATCTAAAGACTACATTTGGTGGAGGCTCGGGGTGACTGTGCTGTGATTAAAGTACTGCTTGAGATGCCAGCTTCTCAATATGAATACCATTTTGAGTTTTGGCTGCTCCACTTCTGATCCAGCTCCCTACTAAAGGTCTGGAAAAAACCAGCAGAATGTAGCACCATTGTTTATCCCCCTTCCATTTCCTTGGGAGACAGCAGTAGAGTTCAAGGCTGCTGGTTTTGGCTTGACTGGCCTGATGTGGCCTAACCTGGCTAGTCTACTCTACCTTTCTATCTCTTCTCTGTCTCTGCCCTTCAAGTAAATATGAAAATATTTTTTTAAATTACACATCTATTTTTAAATTTATGCTGAATGAGCTTATCTTTAATTCCATTTTTCCATGAACTCTGAGAAGAACCCTTGCATAACTGAGAATTTCTTTCTGTCAGTCACCTCACATTGAGTACTCCAGTTTCATCCATATTGCCACAACTGATGTAATTTCATTTTTTCTTAATACTGAAAAATGTTCCATGCTGTATTTTTGTTACATTTCCTTTATGCATTCATTAGGCAGTAAATTTTTGTAATAATTTATCTTTACTTTCGTGACCAATTCTGCAATAAACATGCCTTTTTAACATATGATTTTAGTAACATTAGATAGAAGCTCAGTAGTGCAGTGCTAGAGATCATATAACAGCTTTATTTCTAGTTGTTTTTTTTTAAAGGAACTGCAATACTGTTTTCTATGATGACCACATTGTAAAATTACATTCTCATCAACAATACGTGAATGTCCCCTTTTCTCTGTATCTTTAGTGACATTTTCTAGTTTAATTTCTTTTTTGTAAGATCCATTCAAATCAGAATGAAATGATACTTCATTGTGGTTTCCGTTATGCTTTCCTATTGATTGGTGGTTTGCACATTGTTTCATGTACCTCTGAGCAGTTTTCCTATCTTCCTGAGAAATGTCTCTTTAACTCCTAGCTGTTTGTAATTGGAATATTTATTTTTTGCTATGTAATGATTTCATTTTTTATACATTCTAGAAATTAATGTGTTGTCAGATCATTTACATATGTTTTCTCTCATTTGTTCTCGTCTTCTTTATCAGATATTACTTGTTGCCTGTATTTTGGGAGTCACAGCCAAAAGAAATCTTTGCCCAGACAAATGTCCTGAAACTTTTTTTCAGTGTTTGCTTCTTGTTTCAAAGTACTGTAGTTTCAGTTTCCATCTGTGATCCATCTTGGATTATTTTTTCATAGTGTAAGAAGTGAGGGTCTGTTTTCTTTCATCTGCATATGGATAACTAGTTTAATCAACACTATGTGTTGAAGATACTTTCAATACATGTACAAGTTACCATTGTCCACAATCTGTTGGCTACAAACATAGGTATTTATATCTAGGTTTTCTGTTACGTGTCGTTGTTCTGTTTTTGTTTTAATGCCAATATTTTCATTGCCAAAGCTAGGTAGGATGCTTTGAAGACAGATATTAATAATGCTCAGAATAACATTAACTATTTGAATTTCTTTTGGTGGTGCCACACATATTTGATTTTGGATTTAATTTGTTGAAGCATGTAAATTGGTATTTTATCTAGGCATTACACTATATATATTGATTTTTTTGGAAGTTATGAACATTTTGATAAAGTTAATTCTTCAACTCCAGGACATAAGAACTTTTTTCATTTCATGTGTATCATCTTCAGTTTCTTTTGTCAGCATTTTGTAATTTTATTATACAAGTCATTTACTTCTCTTCTCACTTGATCTTAGCCAAAAGGCCGAGAAGCGATTTTTACTTCTCTTCTCAAATTTATTCTGAAGATTTCTTTTTTTTACTTTCTGGTAGCTGCTATGTGAAGTCAAACATATCTTAAATGTTGATTTTATACCTTGTACATTACCAAATTTCTTTTGTCACTTTAGCTACATTTTTGTGATTTTCTTTACTAATTGATCTTTTTTTATATAAAATCATGTCACGGATTATTTGACCTCCTCCTTGACTAACTGAGTACCTCTTATTTCTGTGTCTTATCTAATTGCTTGGCTAAGACTTCCGTTACCTTTCCAAAATAAATGATGAAAATGGACACGTTTGTCTTGTTCCTCGTGTTAGAGAAAACGATTTCAGCTTTTCCCCGCTTGGTGTGGTGTAAGCTCTGAGTTTTTTATTTCTGGTCTCTACCCTGTTAGGTACATTACTTCTGTGCCTGTTTGTGTTATTCTCAGACTTTTTATCATGAAGTAATTCTGGGCAATGCTTTATCTGTGTCTAATTAGATGATTTTGTTTTTATATCCTGTATTCTGTGGGTTTTGTTTTTTAACGATCTACTTAGTTTTATTGGAAAAGCAGATTTACAGAGAGAAGGAGAGACAGAATGAAAGCTTTTCCATCTGCTGGTTCATTCCCCAAATGGCTGCAAAGTCAGAGTCAAGCAGATCTGAAACGAGGAGCAAGGAACTTCTTCTAGGTCTCCAACACCAGGTGCAGGGTCCCAAGGACTTGCACAATCCATCACTGCTTTCCCAGACTACAGGCAGAGAGCTGGATGGGAAGTGGAGCAACCAGGATACAAACTGGCACGCTTACACGATTATGGGGCTTGCACGTGTAGGATTAGCGTGATGAAATATGACACCAAGCCCCTATCCGTAATTTTGTGAATGTGATAAGCTGTGCTTATTCAATTTAGTATGGTGAAACATCCTTCAGTCTTTGGAATAGATTCCACATGATTGTGCGGGGTAATCTTATTTATGGGCTTTCTGATTTTATTCACAATTATTTTATTGAAATTTTTGTTTGTTTTTGTATTCAAAAAGGGAAGTTTTGTTGTGGTTTTCTTTTCTTGCTATGTTCTGATTTTGGTTTTAGACTAATCCTAGTTTGCAGAGTAAATGTAGAATGTTCCCTTCCTTTCATTATATTAATATAGTTTGAAAAAGAAGTTATTTGAAACTAACATGCAACAGTGAAGGCATCTATTACTTGACTTTTCTTATTTTGGGTTCTAAGCATTAAAGACTCCCATCCTGCAGCTTATTATTAATTTATTCCTATTGTCTTATATCCTCATGGCTCCATTGTGGAAGTTGTATATGTCCTGAAATTTATCCATTTCTGTTTGTTAATTTACAATTATTTATTATACTCCCTAGAGTGATCCTTTATATTTCTGTGTTAAGATTACTTGCAATTTAAAAATTTATGTAGATCTTTCTTTTTTCTTTAATAATCAACTAATTTGGATTTGATTATTCTTCTCTACCTTTTTGTGTTCTGATATTAGGTTGTTTACTAGAATCTTCATTATTATTAAATGTGTTTTATTATTTTATTATATAGTTCCATAGGTTCTGGGATTTCCCTTCTCCCTTCCACACCACCTCCCATTGATTTCCCCTATAACATTACAGTAGTATAGTTTTTCAAAAACAGTCATAATTCCATTATTTGAATATTTAAGTGTATCCTGACATTATAGCTACACACAATGGCAGACAGTCCAGCATCCTTTTGTGAAGATATATTTAACATTGGGATCGCTTCTTTGATTTAGAAGTAGAGATGCGTAATGCATTGTATCTTCGCACCTGAATATGATAGTCTTTATTACACAGTTACTATACATCCCCTTAAATTAAAATGCATTAAAAAATCAACAACAGGAAGAAAAAGTAGAATTAACAACGTGAAGTTAAGTAACATGCTGCTAAATGAGCAATGTGTCACTGAATAAATGCAAAAGAAAATCAAAAACCCTTTGAACCAAATGATGCTACTCTGTGACCTATGAGTCAATGAGAAATTAAAAACTGTTTTAAATGAATGAAAATAATAACATCAGTTCTTCTCAGATTTAGCAAAAACAGTATTGAAATGGCTATTGATCTTGTATTTTACATGAATGTTGCCTTATATCAGAGAGAACATATGATATTTGTACCACTGAGCATAATGGGCTCTAGTTGAATTATTTGGTTGCAAATGGTAGAATTTAATTCATTTCAATGGCTGAGTAGTGTTTCTTGGAGTAAATGTACCACATTTTCTTTGTCTACTCCCCTGTACTACCCTCCACTCCCACCAACAGTGAAGGAGGGTACCTTTCTTCCCATATCCACACCAGCAGGTATTTCTAGTGGAGTTCTGAATGTAGGCCAATCTCACTAGAGTTAGGTGCAACCACAATGTGATTTTCATTTATATTTCCCTGACAGCTTGGGAGCATGAGCATTTTTTCATCTGTCTATTAGCCATTTGAATTTGTGCTTTTGAAAAATGCTCATTTCCTTTGCCCATTTCTTCACAGGATTGTTTATTTTGCTGTTGTTGAGTTTCTGAAGCTCTTTGTAAATCCTGGACATTAGTCCCCTATTGGTTGTGCAGTGTGCAAAGATTTTCTCCCATTCTACTGGTTGCTTCTTCACTTTATTGATCATTTCCTTTGCTGTACATAAGCTTTTTAGCTTTGTAGTCCCATTTGTTTGTTTTGACTTTGACTACCTGTGCTTTTGGTGTCTTTTTTCAAGAAGTCTTTCCCGATTCCTCTATCT